CTCCACCAACACCAGACCGGGTACCAGCAGCCTAGGGTGTCAGAGAACATCTGCCACTCAATGCAAACCAAAGCAAGAGGGAAGGGAATTCCCACCATATCACAAAGCCATGGGCCAGGAAGGGCAGAAGCAGATGGGCAGATGGCATAATGGTTAAACACACAGGTTCTAGAGCCAGAATGTCTAGGTTCAAATCCCTGTCACAAATGGTTGTGTGCCCTTGACAAATTACCCCTCTGGACTCCAGTTTCCTCATCATTTATTTTAAAAAAAAAAAAGGTTATAAAAAGAATTTATTTCACAGGATTGTGGTAGAATTAAGTGAGATAATGTGTAAATAGCACAGCAAGACTCCTGGTATGTAATAAGTGCTCGATACATGCTGGCTATCTTTATTATCTGATATAAATGTCTCCAGAGCAATCCCAGCCCTCAGTCTTAGAAGGCACAAATCTCTCAGAGAGCCCTTCAGCCAGCTCCTAGGACCAAACTCCTCCACAGCCCAGGCCTATGGGCCATCTCACCCAGTACCATGGAGGGAGGACCCAACACCCAGTGCTGGCATTGAGAAAATCCAGGAGCTTCCTGGCATTAGCAGCATAGTTCTCCAACCCCTCACACTCAGGTTGGTGCAGAAAGGCCCAAGATTTCCTCTTCTGTTCCATTCTCCCTGAATCCACCTTCCATCGATCCTCTGTCGTCCTTTCTGAGTACAGATTCCACAGGCTCACTCCATTACTGAGCTGTCATTTATTCAACAAACATTTACTGAACAACTACTACATACCAAACATTGTCCAAGATTATAATGGTGCCCACAATCTACTGAGAGGGACCAACAAGTAGAGGCAGACACAATACAATTTCATGTATAAATAAGTACATGTGCTCCAGAAACACACAGGAAGGCACCTAGAAATTGACATTAAGAAGTATCATGAGGAACTGGCCAGCTAGAGCATCCAGCTGGGGTTAAGGGGTGGGGGGTGCACAGAGAGTATTGAAAGATGAGGTTCGAGAAGTAAGCAAGAGCCTTGAGGCCTCATTAAACAGCATGACTTTGCCTTGAGGGCAAGAGGAAGCCTTGAAAGTGTTTTGTAAGCATGTGACATAATTTGTTATAGTTAGGAGAATGTCATGGGGGGTAAAACTGGAGTCAGAGAGACGATTTAGAAGACTTCTATAATCCAAGAATACGGTGACCTGAGGGGAACGCGGATGGCTCAGTTGGTTGAGCGTCCAACTCTTGGTTTCGGCTCAGGTTGTGATCTCAGGGTCGTGGGATAGAGCCCCGTGTCAGGCCCAGGCTCAGCAGAGAGTCTGTTTGAGATTCTCTCCTTCTCCCTCTGCCCCTCCCCCCACTTGCACTCTTGCTTCCTCTCTCAAATAAATAAATAAATCTTAAAAAAAAAAAAGCACCTGGTGACCTGAACTAGGGCAGCCGTAGCAGGGATGGTAAGAAGACAAAGATTTTGGGAAACCTCTGGCAGGAAGAATCAACAAGATTTGGCAATCAATTGGTTGTGCCTAGAGAAAAGCAATCAAGGATGGTTCTCGGGTTTCTGACAGAACTACCAGACAGTGGTTCCAGTCACAACTTGAGAGCAAGCTGGAGGACCAGGTGTTGGGAGAAAGAGGACACCTGAGCTTTAAGGGGCCTGTGGCATCCAGATGTAGATACAGAAATAGGCAGTTGGATGTGAAAGCTTGGGGTTCAGCTGGCAGATAAAGCAGACTGCTTTTCTCCAGCAGGATCTCTGCTGCCATGTCAAAGATGAAACCCCTCTATAGAGACATTCCCTGCCTGGGCAGGCAGAGAAGAGAGAGAATTGGAGAAAAGAACCCTAAACGCCATGAAGAGGTTCAAGAACCACGAGGTAAGGCAAAGGAAAGGTAGGTCAGGTAGGGGAGGCAAGCTGACCAAGGGCCAAAGCCATACAAATGACATTTCTTAAACAAGTTGAGAAGGAAAATTAAATCTGTGCCCACTAAATTAAAACCCACCTCGGCAGGATCTGTGACTACAGCATCAAAGCCCACAGAGTATCAACTCATCTGGCTTTGACAAAAGATGGACACAAAATGATTCTTTCAGGACCAAGCAGATTTCTTTTCTCCAGTGGGATTTCCGCCGCCACTTCAGTTCCCATTTCTCAGTGCCTCACTAATCAGGCCCTCTCCAACAAAAGTGATGGGAAGCTGGCTGGGGGTGGGTGCTGGGAGAGAGGGGAAGGGCAGCAACGAGAAGGAGCCGTGGCTCTGGGAAACTAGAGTGGGAAATGAAAATATTTGCTGAATTCTTTAGACTTAGTTAAATCTGAAAATGGATGTCAAAATAAGAAGTAAACCCCATACTAACAAGTTGCGGATGTCAATTTAACACCACCCTTGTCAGGCTCCTCAGCAGCCTTTACCAGGCGCATAAAAAGGTGATGGCTCTGCATCTGACGAGAGGTTCCAGGAACACCGATAAGCTGTGCACTGTCACGAAGCACTACTTAGGTTTCCTCTCTGGCTGTTTTTATTTTGTTACACATTTAATTAAGAGCCTTCCCAGCAGTTATGCGGACTCCTGCTTCTAAAAGGCAGCCACAAAGCTCTCCTCCCCCCAGCCCCTGCTACCTGACATCTGCTTCCCTCCTGCATATTCTTTTTCAGATCTTCACTGGTCTTTTCAATGCAAACCCAAACCAGCTTACCAAAGTCTGCCCAACCCATCTCTTTTAGAAGCAACATGGTCTTAGAATTCAAGTCTGTCTAGCTACGAGTCTACCAATTTGGGTCTTGGTTTCAAATTCTGTCTTGTTTTGTTTTTTCCATCTATAAAAGGGAGCTATCACCTTCTACCGGGGAAGATAATTAGGAGGACGGAATGAAATATGGTACATGCTCATTAAAATTTGGTTTCAAGGTGCCTGGGTGGTGCCAGTTGGCTAAGCATCCAACTCTTGGTTTTGCCTCAGGTCATGATCTCAGGGTCCCGGGATGGAGCCCCATCTCAGGCTCCAAGTTCAGTGTGGAGTCTGCTTGAGATTCTCTCTCTCCCTCTCCCTTTGCACCCCCCACCGCCCCAGCTCATGCTGTCTCTCTCTCTCTAAAATAAATCTTTAAAAAAGCTTTTTTGGTTTTTTTTTTTCTATATGTTTGGATATAGACCCAATCCCTCTTCTTGATTACATCAGTTCTTATGAAGATGCAAAGCAGCCTCCTGAGTCACCAAAATCTGTCCCAGGCCCAGTGGGCCGAACTGGTACTATAGGCCAGAATGGGCCAGACCCAAAGACAACACCCTCTGAAATTCCCTCTTTGTCTCATGGAGAAACCAGCTTAGGAGGTCTGGCCAGAGAGCCCCCACTCGTATGCACAGGGAAGTTTTCATATACACGCATATGCACATGCCTTCCCTAGTTAATGCAGGAGATTCTGAAATGTGGGTGTCTGGGATATGAACACATCAAAGAGTGAAATCCACTTGGAAGAGTGGGAGTCCTGGGAGGCTATCTGGAGAAACTGGGCCTCTGGACTGGGCCACACGAGCCACAGACACTGGGTATCAGCCTGAACCCCAAACAGCTTCTCTTATGCTATGTACCTCCACCTCAATCCCTTCTCTGCTTCAAGTACTCAGAGCTGCCCAGGATGCCATAAATAAGAGCAACAGCCTTCTTCCTCCTCACCTTCTCTGTGGAACCCTCCCCTGATTCATATCTGCTTCCAGATCCAGCCTCTGTAATTTCCCTGACACAGGAGTGTCATCTGGGAACACGGAGATCCTCTGGAGCTCTGGGAGTCCTGTGTGCAACCTAGAGTATGCAGTCAGTGTGTGTACACGACCTGAGGGATGTGTGGGTATTTATATGATCTGGACTTGTTCCTCCTGTCTCACCTAGGGAGCTGGTATCCAGTAGCAGGCTTGACATCCACCTGAGTGCGTAACTTCACCTCAATACCCAGCATCCAAAAGGCATAAAAAAGGACCTTGGTGAGAAGATAATGCCTAATTTGGTAGGAAATGTCACTCCAGAGCCACTATTCCTCACCTCCAACCAATACCCCACCTATGCACGAAAGTGTACACGCACGCGCGCGCACACACACACACACACACACACACACACACACAGAATGCTTGCAGCTGCCTTCGGTCACAAAGAACACAGAGGTATCGATTCTATCAATCCTCAGCAAACAGTGCCCCCACCACCTCCACCCCGTTTTAGCTCCCCGGGGGCTGTCTGAAGCCAGGTATCCATGAGGATAGACAAGAGGCAAAAGTGTCAACCTAGCAAAGGAACCAGTTCTGTCTTCCATACCCAGGGAAGGACCCAGAGACAAAGGAGAAAAAGCAGTGGGGACAAAGGAGGCTGGGGAATTGGACAGCTCCCTAGAAGCAGCCCTCTCTCATCCCACCACTGGGCCTGCAGTTGAATCATCAGGGCCTTGTACCCCAGATAAAAGGGTAGCACAGCAGAATGGTTAAGAGACAGGACCCTGGAGCCAGGCTGCCTGGGTTTGAATCCTGGCTCTGTGTGTCTTAGGCAAGTTACTTAACCTCTCTGTGCCTTAATTCTCTTATCTATAAAACAGGAATAAAAGTACCAAGGTTTATTAAACGAATTACTATTTCTAAAGCATTAAGGGTAGTAAACACTATATACTTGTTAAAAAAAAAAAAAAAAAAGGATCTTCTTTTAACTCCTTCCTTCCAGGGCAATAACATGCAGCCCCACAACTGGAAGGACTGTCCTGAGCAGTGGGACCTGGCAAAGGCAGGAAGGTCCTGACAACAGCCGTCCCAGTAGGGTCCTTGACAGGTCTACTCCCAGCTCCAGAGGCAGAAGGCAGGGTTCCCAGTCCTCTTTTCACCTTGGCAGCCCCAAAGATCCAGGGACTCCCTGACTCAGCTGCCCTGTAGGCTGGGACATGTAAGCCTGCGAAAGGCGACACCTGGTCCCATAGCTTCCAAGCCCTGCCAGCAAAGCAGTGCTTCTCATACTCACATGACTTTCAAGTCCCAGTCTCCACAGGTGACAAAAATTGACTTGACGTTTGGATCTAAGAGGCCTTCTTTCGCCATCCACTCATCGACCCTCTGAAAAGTACACAACAAGAACAGATGAGATTTTCCTTTCTTTTTTTTTCTTCCCAAGTCTGTGAAGAGCCACACCAATGAAACACAGATAAGCTGCTTGTAATCGGAGCAGGAGAAAACTGTAATCTTATCCAGCCATGGCTCCGCTCTGGGCTCTCAGCCTTGGCTCAGGGCTATGGGGGCACCAGGAGGATGATCCCTGCAGGAAGATCCACAAACCCGAATGAGTGGGGAGAGGGAGCCCCTCCGCTGCCTCCCTGCCCCACTGCCTGGCAGCCCACCCCAGACGGGATAAGGACACATCCTGGTAAGTCGGTCCTCAAAAGCAAAGCCTAGCACAGACACAGGATGCCCTGGGCCATGAGAACAGGCTGGAAGGAGGCTCCAAGCAGGAACTCCAATCCACAGGTTCATTCATTCCCTTATTCATCTCACCCTCCCACCAAAGGTTTATTAACCAAATTTATGAATTTGGTTATTCCCGAAATGACGGTGAAGTTAATCTTCACTGTGAGTCTAGCAGAAAAAGCTCCCTTGCTGGGCTAGAACCCCACCTTGATCCCTGGGGTGGCACTGCCTGCTTCAGTCACTGAAAGCTCATATAAACTGGCCCAGGCTTTATGTTTCTCCTCTCCTGGTTGAGGACTCAAATTCAAATTCAGTGGACTCTTTTGAAGGCTGAGCTCAATTCCTAGACAGGGACAAAAACTGCTCCTAAACATACTTTAAGTTTTCTTTCCCTTCATCCCTTTGATCAGGTTTATTATTTGCACTCACACTGGAAGTACAAATACTAAAATCAGTATATAATGAGAGAATTATCAGAAGGCATTCCTGAAGCATTGCCTATTTTTCAGAAGATCCCAGGCATGGGGTGAGAGTACAGCAGATGACCACCACGCCACTCACAGAGAAGGATTAGCTTTTAAAGGCTATGTCGCAAAGTAGCCAGAAATGCAGGATTGAAAGTCAAACACATCCGGGTTCTAACCTTGGCTCTTCCATATCTTGGCTGTGTCACTGATAGGAAGTCACTTAAAAGTCATTTAACCTCTCTGAACTTCAGTTTCCTTCATCTATAAAACGAGGTAGGATGACTAACCTTACGGGGTTGTTTTGAGAATTAAATGTAATAATGTATTAAGTGCCTACCACAAAATAGACAGTAGGCTGAGAAGGTGAGAAAGGCAGATCATCATAATACAATATAATAGATGCAGCCCTGGAGAAGTGACCAGAATGCTACAGGACCAAGAGAAGGAAGTGACTAGCTCTATCTTTTACAGAAAAAGGAGTCAGAAAGGAAGGCTTCACAAAGACGCCAAATGAACTAGGGGACTTGGTGGTTGGGTTTCCCAAAAGGATGGAGCAGAGCAAAGGATATCCCAGGCAGAGGCAGAGGCATGATCATTTTATATTTGAGAAGCAATTACATGCTCAATGTCTGCGTCCCCCACCAGACTATAAGCACCATGAAGGCAGTGACTTTTGTTTTATTCACTGTCTAAATCCCTAACTCAGCAGTGTCTTCTCAATAGATACCTGCTGATTGACTGAAACATGAGTAGGGGATAGTGTGACCGATGTCCAGTGTGTAGAAAGGAGGGACAGGAAATGACGCTGAGGGTTAGGTGGGCCAGACTGTGAAGACTCCAGCAGGTAATGGAGAGCCCACTGAAATCATGAAGTAAGATTACTCCTAGCAGGTGTAGGCTAGCTCCCTGGGACATCTCAGAGATCCTGGAGGCCCAGTCCACACCAAAGCAGTCTTTGAGTAGGGCCAAGGATCCTAGGTCATTCCATGACTAGAGCAGTCCTACCTCTCAGGAGGTCAGACTGCTCCTTAAGCCAGACTGTGCAGACCCTCTTCACAGTCTGCACACCGGAGAATCCCCCTCAGCCCAAGAGTCTCCCTAGCAAGCTAAATTCAGGACTTTCTACTGCGGAATGGCTTGTCTCCCCAGCCACTATGGCCCAGTTGCACAGAAGGACACGCACACACTCACATTCATGTATCCTTTCCCAAGACTCTACATAAGAAAAGGAGTAAGGCAAACCTAGGGCTCCCTATGTCATTTAACCCTGCTCTAGCTCACTGGCCTTAAATCCCCAAGGTAAGTGCCCCATCTGCTGGGGGGGTGCTCCCCAATGCCCCAACTCCTAAAAAGTGGTCTTGGAAAAGAGAGCAAGACAGGATTGTCAGGAGCCAATGCCCAGCAGGATCTTTCCCATGAGAAGCACTTAATACTCACAGGGGTCCTTGGAAGCTTAGGACCTAGGCCATTCACTCATGCAATAGGTATTCAGTGAGAACCTTCTACTGTAAGCCTGTCCAGAGAGGTGATACATTTGTCCTGTACTATCACTGTCTTTTTCTGTCCTTTTCCTTCCCTTCTCCACTTAAGTGGATAAAGAGTTAGAGGAATCACCAAGACAATCCCCAATCAGCTGGGCTGGCCCTCCCAGCTACTGAAGGTCTAGCATGAGTCCTACTTGGACTAAATGAGTCAGGCAAACACCTAGCTGGCCACCTGCTCAGGGCCTTGGTTAGGACAAGAAGTCAGCTTTTTAGCTATATGACCAACTCAGGGCCAATGAGACAAAGTACAGCCCATTCTGGTCTCCTTGCCAGAGACTCCCCATTCAGGCAGATGCCAGGAATCTTCCCTCTTCACCCACAAAGTATGCTCAAGTATCAGAAAGTAGCTTTATGGATAAGACTCAGAATCCCCTGAGCATTCTGCTCCAGGGTGGCCTGAGGTTAGCAAGAGGAAGCCTCCTGAAGACCATCGCTCCCTGTCAACCAGCACAACCGAGGGGAAAAAAAAAATCCCATAAGCTCAATAGCTCTGGTTCAGTGCTGGCCTACAGCAGGCATCTTCCTCCTCAGATCCTGGCCAGCGACATTCCAGGGAATAGCTAGCTGCCTGCTGTCTGGCCTCCCTCAGGGGGCAGGCCCTGGCTGGGACAGAGGAAAGGATGGGTGGGGTTCCCACTTTCTCTTTGAGTCTGGTCTTACAGGGAGCAGTCGATGCTGAGGGGCCCCCTCAATCATAGGAGTGAATCTCCCCTCAAAAAAAGAGGGTCAGTGGGGCTGGGAGACACCTCAGAACTCATCTTCTCATCTCCCAAACTAGTGTAGGTACCTTCACACTGACCCGACCCAGAGCTTGACCAGTCAGAGAACCTAGGCTTGTACACTCCCAGGGACAGGGAGCATACCTGCCACTGGGTGAGCCTAAACCTGACTCCATCCTGAGGAGCCCAGGAATTCAGTCTCCATTTCTCTCTCCCATGAGACAGGGCCTCTTGGCTAAATAAAGAGATCTTCCCGCCTCTCCCGGCTACCACCCAACTTCCTCTAGGCTGATTACCTCCGGCGCAGACGTGCCCTGCTACCCCCCCACCCCCTCTGCTTCCTCCTGTGCTTTGATAGGGGCTGAGCTTTAGGTTTACTGGTCTTAAAGATAATAAAGTACCTAATGGGATCCACAGGCTTCTTCTCTTCTCCCCTCCCCCTAGAGAGGAGGGAGGGGGAAAGGGACCTTCCCCCTCCGTGAAAACCCCCAGGCCAGAAGGGGTGGGAGACAAGCTGAGGCCAAGCCCGGCCCTTCCTTATTCCCTCAGGCTGGAACACAAGAAGCAGCATCTTAACCTTTTCCAGCTCCCCGAGGAGAACATCCTAGAAGTGTGGTCTCCGCCAAGGGTTCTAAAGCCTTTCATTTGATTTCCCTCACATAGGCAATTGTCGTAATTATTCTGATTAGGAATCATTACCCAGCGCAGCCTCTGCACCCCTGACAGGCACAATGCATCCAGTGGCAGGCTGCAGTGGGGCAGGCGGGCCCAGCGCACCTCCTGGAGGAGCCGACAGCAAACAAAAGCCATCGATGGGGAGTTCTGGGTGAGTTAATGAAGCGCTCACATGCCACAGGCAGCCAACACTAAAGCTAAACAAAAACACCTTCAGTCCCTAGGGCTAGTCCTGCGGTCCCACGCTCGGCCCCCCTCTTCCACGACCCACCCAGCACCGGCTGCCCGCGCTGTCCAGCCCAGGGCCGGGGGCCAGGAGGGGGCGGGGGCCCTGTGTGGAACTCGGGGCAGCACTGGACATCCTGCCAGTAACCCTGACGGGAACAGCTGGAGATGACAGATCAATGGTTCAATACTCTCAACAGCATGTCACGGATGTGACAGCAAATGTTATTCTAATCAAGCCATAATCATAGTCAAATTACACGGCTACATTCTCAGGAGGGGAGGGAGAGAAAGGCAGCGGGAAAGGGTCCAGAGGTCAGGAATTAAAGGTCACTCAACCTACCTCCAGCACTTGCTGCAGGCTCGGCTGACCATCCACCATGGCTTGAATAATCCCGGTGAGCTGAAAGGAAAGAGAAATAGCCAATAGGTGGAACTGCAGGGTACAGGGTCTCAAAGCCAGACAGGATCCTTTCCTTTCTCCTTCCACCATAAAAGACTCTGGCCTGCAATGCTTTTGGCTCAGAACCTGCCAGAAGCCTTGGGAATGAAGTCCCAGGACATAAGGTGAACTTTCTCCACAACATCCTGCCCCAAGAGGGGGAAACACATCTACATGCTGACCAAAGGGTGTGTTTCATGCCCATTTCAGCTTTCACTTTGAAAAGAAAAGGAAAAAAAAAAAAGATTTTATGTGTCTTGTATTCAATAGGCTCAGTAAATCCCTACAAATTATGATCTAAAGTAAATTCACCTCCCAGCTTCACAGAAGTTCCTGTAGACCTTGAGGAATGCTCACATAGGACAGCAACACTTGGTTATCAAGTCTGGGTCTCGATGTCCAGCATTTCCCCATCTAACACCGGGGAAGAGCCGGGGGAACCCCACAGGCATCCACTCTTTACCCTGAATACCTGGGTCCTCAATACCAACTAGGCAAGCAAGAAATAGACACCTTTTTTTTTAAGATTTTATTTATTTATTTGACAGAGAGAGAGAGAGCACCAGTAGGCAGAGTGGCAGGCAGAGGGAGAGGGAGAAGCAGGCTCTCCGTTAAGCAGGGAGCCAGACGTGGCTAGATCCCAGGACCCTAGGATCATGACCTGAGCTGAAGGCAGACGCTTAATGACTGAGCCCTAGGCACCCCAAGAAACAGACACCTTTAACTGATTGGGAAACTCAGACAGAAAGGCCTAATAAAGGAACCTGGTCTAGAGAATTTCTGACTCACAGGCCTATGCTCACCCAGGTCAGGCCTAGGTTCAAACAAGCTTGTTGCTTTGCTTTGCTTTGTTTTGAAGTGAAAATATCCCTTGAATACAGACTAGGACAGACTGCCTCGGGGACCTGAGGCAGGAGGCCCCTATCCACAGACGTGAACCCAGCTGGAAATCACCATGCCCAATGTGCCCCTGGCTACTCCTACAGAGAGCAGCAGCTCAGGCTTGCTGGGGAACTTATTTTTTTTAAGTGTTGGGGGGGGAATTAAACTCCAATTAAACTATAATTACCTTTAATGAATATCAAATACCCAGCTCACAGGAACTGCCGGCTCTAAGAGGGAAGGTTAGTTTCTCATAGAGACTTACATGGAATGGTAATACACACCTTTTAGGGAAGAAATTTTCATTTTAAGAACGCTGAGTTCCTCTAGGTGGGTTTCTGTAGTTCATCAAGTCATTATTAGGTGGTATTTTAAGGAAGTGTAAGGACACAGCCACTCTATTTTATATTCCAGAAACTGTTTTTATATTAATCTGTATTTTAATTGGGTAACAGCTGCTGCCTACAGACTTCCCATGGTCTAAAAGGAAAATAAATTAGAAAGATTAACTACACTGTTGTTTCACAAGGCTTTAACCCACAGCATGCCCACCCGGCTGGCACCTCCACACCCTTTCCTTGCTTGGGAGACCAAAGAACTGCCCAGCAGAGGGAGGGCCTGAGCCAAAGAGAAAAAAAGTTGGTCCACTGAGGGCTAGGGGTGGGGCTGGGGGGTGAGGAAGAGCTCTGGGTCAGTGGCTTTAATCTTAACAGTGCTAAGACTCCTCTTTTTATTTAGTCAACAACTATTCATGGACAGCCTACAATGTACTGGGCCCCATTCCAGGAACTAGGGATCCAGCTGTGAGGAAAAACATGAAATCCCTGCCCTCCTGGAATCAGCATTCTTCTTGGCAGCCCCCTCTATGCCCAGCCCAGCCAGCATACAAAGCCTGTACATCTTCCAGAGCCACACCCTGAGCAGGCAGTTGCCCTGTGTTTTGTCTCAGGCACAGAGGGGCCAGAGTCCAGAGTAGGCTTGTTGCTGACTCCAGGTGCAACACCCAGATGACTGACGAGCACCCATGCACCCACCCCTGCCCTTCCTGGCCCCACTTCTCTCCTGCTTCATTCTTCCAGAGCCAAGCCATATCCCCAAGCTTGGAGCTGGGGCTCAGGGTCAGGACTATTCTGGAAAACCTACAGCCACTCTCACTTCTTGGAAAAGCTCTGGGATCTGTGTGCCAGTCTCACGTCTTGTCTGAGTTTTCTGGGGCAAGGGTAGGTCTACCACTTCTCTTGACTCCTACACCAAGGGTCACTGAGATGAGATGAACACTGAAGGGCTTCCAGAAAGGCTCACTCACAGAAGAAACCAATGGCACCCTTGTCAAGAGACCTCCCTCCTTGGAGATGGGACTTAGGTCAGCATCTATGTACTCCACAAGCACCTGCTCTGGGCCCAGGAAAATCACTCTTGTGCAGAGAGAAAGTCACTGCACTAAAAAGGAAAACCAGGGCACTGCTCTGCACAATCTCTCACTACAGACTAGGGCCCACCTTTTCCACCCTGGAGGTAGGGCTCCAGGGTCCTGGGGTTTTCTCACACTCCTGTCCAGTGGTCAGCAATCCTAGAATCATCAGCCTGGGAGGAGCCTAGTGAGCCCAGCTCTCTCTCTCTCCAGGCTTCCCAGATCACCTGTGGTTCAGCAAGACAAGGCTTACAGCTGAGCTCCTAAAGGGCTTGAACTCAACCCCCAGAGACACGGGGGCTTGAACTATTGGTTCGGCTAGAGGCATCCTTCCAGGGGGAGGCCTCACTCCCCTGTATGAATCCTTCCAAGGATGGACTACATCTTATCAGCTCCACCAAGGCACTAGATGAAGAGTGTGAAATTAAGAAATTCGTCCCTGTACCTGATACTGACAACCTAGAAGACATCTCTAAGACTTACACCAGAAGCCATGAAGGAGAGAGCTAATTTAATAAAATAAATACTGGAAAGTTCTACCTTAGGCTTAACTTAAATCCTTCATGCTGCAGTTTAAACCCAATCCCACTTGGGTTAATATATATTTGTAAAAAGCTTTCACATCCTCACAATGAAAGGTACTAGAGGAAAGCCAAGTATTATTAAGCTGAGAACCAGGGCTCACAGGCTAAACAGAGCTCAAAGACCTTAACCACTTAAAGCTGGAGAGGTGAGAGGAAGAATTAATGTGTGCTCTGTGGCTCCTTTCACCGAGGGATTACAGATTAACTCCCGCTTCTCCAGACTCAGAAACCGTAAGGCGAGGGGCTTTTGACCCTGACTGATAACATGACTGGTTACTGAGATCCCCTACCCACACAGGGGCTTTGTCCAGGAATGAGCTGGCTTCATCACAAACACTAGCAACTACAGGAAGCAGCCCAGGACACTCAATGCCAATAGCATGTCAGCATCCAGTGCTTTCTCCTTTCACAGTTTATCTCCAACACAATCGTATTCTGACACCAAGACAGTTTGTTGATTACATAAGCACTTGTCTCTGGTGTGCAATCTGATAATCAGACCCACTCTTTCTCCTCAGACAAAGAGACCAATAAATCTCACTCTTTATAAGTACAGGTGCAAGACAAAGCCCTTTACTGGCATTTAGCAAAATTGGTATTTTTTCTAGTTTTTTCAAGACAATGACAACAACAACAACAAAAAAAACTGCACATGGTCAGGAACTGTGCAGTAGCCCAGCTGCTAGATGCAGAGATCTGACGGGTTGGAGCAGATTCTAGAGGTGGTAGGGAAAGGGCTTGGGAAGGAATGAAACTTATCCCATCCCATCTCTGTCAGAAACAAGTCTCCAGGCAGACTATCACCTGGAACGAAGAAAGGACCTCAAGAAGGCTACTAACATGTCCATTACACAGAGCAGTTAAGAGTGTCTATATGTGAGCTACAGACCCACTCAAGGCAGCATCCCTCTTCTTGCTGCCCAGCACTGAGCCTGTTTCTCCCCTCCAAAAGCATGTACTCAGATGTGTACTCATGTGTCATGATGTGTGCACACATCACAGGCCAGGGTTCTTAAGAACTTCTTGTGCACAAGAGAAAATCCTACTAGAGGAGATGCTCAGGCACAATCCAGAGGTGCTGGGTTGTTCCTCATACCTACTAAGGAAAGATTCTCTCTGACTGTGATGATCTCTATCTCTACCCCAAAGGCAGCCACTGCCACACTGGACAAGGTCCCACAATGATGGCCCCCATCCCACGTCCATGCCTCTCTCTATATTACAACTCCATCTGGTATGGAAACAGAGCAATATTTAGATGATCTGAGGTCTTCCAAAGAAGACATAACTTACTCGAAAGAACGAGTTAGCAGGACAGTTACTTCGGGGCAGCAGCGGGGCGGCGGGCAGCAAGGTGTGGTTGACTACTCTTTGACAATATTCATTCATTTAAGGAACACATGTTAAGTGTTTACTTGGCACCAGACCCTAATGATGGGCCAGAGATGGATCAGATCCAGGTTCTGCCCTCAAGGAACTCACTCACGGTCTAGTGAGACACATAAGTAAATAAAGTACAAAGCATCTGATCAGCGCTTTGGGTGGTGGGACCAGCCATGGGCTTGGGGAAGGCTCCCCAGAGAAGGTGACCCTGAGAAAAGTCCTAGAGGGACAAGTAGGGGCAGGGGAGGAGAGTGGGAGCCGCATACAGGCAGGAGCTTCGTGTGCACAGGCAGACTGTGAGGGAGCGACCTTAGGTGAGGGAAGTGAGGGGGCATGAAGCAGGGAGATGTGAGGCTGGATAAAATGGCCAGGACCAGGTCAGGGAGAGTTGGAGGCTCTGGAAGCCTGAGGCGAAATGGCACCCTCGGTGCCACAGCTCAGTCACATCTTCACTTTCAGATAAGGCTTCTGGACAAGGGTCCCAACCCCACCGTGCCTCCTGCCCTCCAAATTATGTATGTGTGTCCAGGGGTGAAACTTTCTAAAAAAGGAAAAATAGCTCTCATCGTAGTCTCACAATCCCTCCTCCCTTATCCCCAAAAAGAAACAGCAGCAGCCCTGATCTCAAAAAGATCTCTCTTCCCAATACTCTCAAGAACCCACTCCTGCCCAGGGCTGAGCTCCAACAGCACTGTTCCATGCCTAAAGAACTAGTAACCTTTCCCAAATTTGGGTCTGCCCAGCTGCACCAGGCAGCCTAGCTGCAGCTGGAGCTCCCAGGGGAGAATCTGCACACAGAGAGGAAGAAGAGAAGGACGAGAGGATACTGCATTTTCAGGCCAGTGGAGGCTCAGGTAACTAGCTGGCTTAAGGAAAATCTTCCCTTTCCATAAGGAAGGGGATTTTTTTTCAAAAAGGGCAAAAAGAACAGATTAGCGCCCCCTGGTGGTATAGGTAATTTCCAGGGGCAAGGGGGAAAAAACATAGATCCCAGAGGGAGCAAGAATCTCAACATCATTAGTGGGAAGAACAAAGGGGCTGAGAGACTACACGCTTTGGCAGATGGATGCCTGCATCAAAGGCCTACCTGGGTTGGGCAGGAAACACTGGCATCAAGCCCAGCGACCCCTGAAACTTCATATCTGGGCTAAGTCAGCCTCAGAGCCCATGGGGCCCTCCCACCAGTGGCAGGCAGGCCCTTTCCCAGCATTCCCCACACCAAGACAATGGTTTGGGGGATCACTCAAGAACTTCCTTCCTCATGTTTCACTCATATGAAGAATGTAGATCGCTAAACAAAAGCACAATATCTCGAATGTACCCCAGCCCCAAATTCTTAAGAAGATTCCAGAAACACTCATGTTTTCCCATTACTTCTGCTACCACACATACTTGGCCCGTGATTCCACCACAGCCCCTGGCTACCACAGAGAGCATAACACGACACATCACAGGGGAAAGCAGTCACAGAAGGTCTCGGGAGTAAGAACTCTTCAGGGGCACCTCCTCTCTGCTACTAGTTCTTCTGAGCCTCTAGCAAGCATCAAGATCTCAGCCCAATTTCACAATCTGCAAAATGGGGCCAATACTAACCTGCTGGCAAGGTGACCGAGTACAACACTGGCACGGGATAAGGACAAAGACATTTCAGCCTCATATCCCACTTGGACTGCTCTTCTCATTCCTCAATGACAGGGTCCTGCTTCCCACAAACTCAACCAATGCTTCACGCAGGGCCTCTTTGCTCAAGGACAGAAAAACATCACCAGAGGCTAAGAAAGTCTGAACATAACCTCTCCTTCCAAGAAGCTGAAATCTTTACCTCTTGTCAAGAGGTGCCAAGGGAAATGGAACTGAAAAGTAGCTGAACCCCGGCAGTACCACCCTGGAGTGGTGCGGCACTACCACCCTGGAGTGGTGCAGCACTCCAAGTGCCTGGTCACCAGGACGGGTAGGGATGATAAGGGAGAGAAAAGGTTGGGGAAGCCGGGACAGATGGTGCCACTTCTCCTTGGGTCCCCAGTGACCACAGCGGTGCAAGCGGAGTGGCAGACTTTGTAAAAAGCCAACTGCTGGCTGGGTCCAATGTGCACCTGCCTTACCCACTAACAAGGCTCCAGCTGCCCCTAAAGCAGCATGGATAGTGCACCAGTGACCCAAAAGCTCCTGTCCCAGCAACCCGTGCTGCCCTGCTCCAGGGCCCTTACCTCTGTACAGAAGGGAGTAAGCTGTGGATGGACTACGGGCTGGACATACATGTGAAAGGTAGACTCAATCTCCATGGTCCGACCATTTAGCTTCAGGATGGGGAACTCGATGATTTCCTGGAATGGCAAAGACACAGAAAAAGAAGAATACATTTTTTTAACCAAACATTACAAGAAAGAGTCAAGAATGAGGGACTGTTTTGGATTCATTAGCTCTTGCCAGGCCAGACCCAAGACTGAGTGAGATGGTGCCAGCTCAGTTCCAATCCTAACCTTCCCACTGTTACTACCCTTACAGGTGGCAGGGACTAGACACACACCCCACCCCCACTGGAAAGGGGAAAGAAGACAGTAGTACAAGCTGCCCCAGTTTCCCCAACTGCTTCTCTGCCAGAGGCCTGTTCACTGGAGCCCATAAGAGTAGCCCCACCCTGTCCCCTTGCCCAGGCCTCTGCCCTGGATGGGCCTGGATCTCCAGTCACCTAGACAACCAGCCATAAGACCAATCACAGCCTTCTGCATTTGAAGCTTAAGCAGAACCGATGAGTTTCTTCATTCGTTCTTAAAAAAAAAAAAAAAGATAAATAATAAATAAAGCCAAAGGGGATATAAAGAGAAAAAGAAAACTGAGTAAGAGTAATAGGACCTGGTGCCTCCCACCTTTCTTTCAGGCAGTACACCCTCCCCCACCCTCTCCCCCCCAATCACTTAGCCAGCCCTTCCCAGTCCACTGGAACGTAATGGAAGAGAAGGAGGAGGAGTGACAATTTGTTTGGTGTCTCTAAGATTAATTTGTCTCCGTTATTTAATAGAGATGCACAGCACCAAGGTCCTGGTGTGCAAACAGGCTTGCAGAACGCTGGCTGTGCAGCGCGCCTCCTACATCGCTCCTGGGAAGGGAGGAATGCACCAGAGGGGGGAGAGGGCAGGAGAGCACACACGCATCAGAGAGAAAAGGGAAAGCAAGGAGAGAGAATAAAAAAAATTATTGCTTTTTAATATTCAAAAACAGTTTGCAAAATTTAATCAAAGCAGAGGAAAAGCTAACATTTTTACCACTTTGACATTTTTATTAGCGCTTTCATAAATTTTTAAAACATGAATGGAATTAGTTTACAACACAAAAAAAAAACTGCCCTGAAAACATCTGGAAGAGACAAATAGGAAATAATAAAAAAAATAAATAAAAGCAAAATCCTCCGAGTAAAATTAGCATGTGGAAAAGGCCTCCACTGCAGAGAGCGAAGGGGGGCTTGGCCCACTCCGTGGCCCCAGTAGTCAGCTCCAGCAGCATCCCTACTCCAGGTCCCCGGTTCTGGAGGGGACCTTTCTAGTATCACTAAAATCAAGGCAAACTGGTTCTCTCCAGGGACAACGTGGAGGAGCAGCACGGAAGCTGTTGATACCTGACCGCGAGCAGGACATGGACGAGTGGGAAGAGAGAACAAATGGCCAATCTCCTCAATGTCCCAGGGCAGCCAGGTAGCCTCTCCCTCAAACACAGCTGTGACTATCGGGCTTGTTTTTAAAGCATCTATTTTTATCCAACACATTACAGCAGGACTGAAGACCAAATCAAGGCAGTCAGATTTCATGACCGAAAAATCCAAAGGTTCTGCTTGCCTGGTCTCCCCAGCTGATCCCCCAAAATGGGGACACTGACAGGAGCCCCCTGAGATAGGAAGGGCAACAAGGCTGAGGCAGAGGGGCCGGGGCAAGGAGGTCCCAGCTTTGCTTAAATTAGGTGACACCTTTCCTCCCAACTTGAAGAGATGGGGGGACTTATCCCCCAAATCCCTGGGCCTCTCTCACTCCTCACAAAGCACTCCTTTGCAGACCTGGTAGAGGACAGTTTTGTGCTGAAAAATAAAATGGAGGCACACATACACACAAAATACATTATCGGTCCCCCTGAAAAAAACAGATGTCCAAGATTTCCAAACACTAACTCTGAAGTGGGGCTCATCGGATACCTGAATTTCTGATGTATCCTGCTTCTCCAACTATGGAGAAGCAGCACTTTCCCAGTGGGAGCTCCACAGCCTGGTTAGTTTGGCTGCCCTGGTGTCTAAAGAAACAAATACAGCCAGTTCCTCACTAACAATGTTAGCTGGGCCCACAATGAAATTTAACCTGTGACACAACTGTACTTTTCATTTAAACTTTCATTTGGAGAGAAGCAGTGTTTGGAGACCTGCAGTTTGTCCTGCTAATAAAGACAAGTGTTGGGACCTTTAAGGATGCCATTCATCTCTGGCTTTTATTAAATTCAATTTTCTTAAGCCTATGATACATTATGAAATTAGGAGTTGACATTCCTCTGGAAACAAAAATATCTATCAAACATAAATAGAAAAAAAGCCCTCTATTACCAAGAATTTATGGCTTAAAGTTGATCTCTTTCCACTTTTTTACAAGCACATGGTTTGTTTTAGATATCTGAAATGTTATTATAGATCTAGAATTTCATTAGTATTTATTATAAAATAGTAAGCGCTTCAGCTCCTGTTCTGACCAGCACCAAGTCGGCATCCCCAGTAGATTCTCTGAAAACTTGGCCTTTGGGTTTCCCCACTGCAGCTTGCTCTTCAAGCTCTCCTGCTGCTGGCTTCCTCACCCCTAGGGAAATGGAGCCAACCTCTGCTCACACTCAGTAGCACCCTCCCAGAGAGGAAGAATAAGCTAGCTTCAGCTCTAAGCAAAAAGACGGGGAGGAGATCCCCAGGAGGCCTGGGGGCCAGGGACATAGTGGATTGGACCTATCATAAACATACCTCTCCAGAGTCACTGGCCCGTCAGCCAGGCCTTCTCCCCAAGACCAACAAGAGGGACTTTCAATAGCCAATCTTAGAACATGACTTTGCATGGGCCCCTTCTCAGCACCATCAGCAGCTGTTGTAACAACGACCTTGCACACTGGCAAACTCATTTAAGCCAATGAGGATGCAAAAGAGGAGCTTCTGATGGAAGACCCTCTGGGGAGTCAGAGCACAAAGGATTTCACTTAGGTACTTCTTACCTTCCCATATTACCCAATCAAGACCAGAACCTCAAAATCCTGGCCCCAACAGCCCATTCATGGGAGAGGAACCCTAATCTCTACCAAGGGGGCATGACTCTGCAGCCAGTGCACCTGGAGCAGGCCAAACACTTCAACAGTTTTCGGCTCATAAGGATCGCAATGGTAACACCAAAGTTACAGGTTGATCACATTAATTCCAACCCAGGAGCTCAGGAGGATGTGCCTACGTGCTAGCTTCTGAGGGCAGTCACTCCGATAATGAAACTGTTATTCCTGCCTCTCCTCCTTTTCCCTCCCTCAATCTCCTCATTCCCCTGGGAAGAGGGAAGTTTTTAGCAGTAGTTGAGTGTCTGCTTGTGCAGAGGTAGCACCAGGAATGAAAGAAGAACCAGTGTGTGTTCACCAGCCCTCTCTTCCTGCCCTAAGAACAGTTTCCCAATTCCTTACATCTGTATGTCATTCACATTCAATTAAACTACCTGAGCAGCATCTACTGGGTGCAGGGCACTGTACCAGTGTTAGAGTGGGATTTAGAAAGATGTAGCCTCTGCTTTAAGGAAGTGCACAGACTAGTGAGCAGAGAAGATACTGAACAAATAATGAACAATGCACTACGATAAATTCTTAGCGGAGGGACATACTGAGTGTTAGGACTTTCAACTTATAGTGTGCTTGCAAATACATTTTCTTATCTTACCCTTATTAATCCTGGAAGATAGGTCATAGCAGCAGCAGCAGCAGCAGCTCATAAACCAACACTATGAAGCACCTACTATTTACCAGGCAGGGACTGGGTGTGGAGGCAGAGACAAATACAATGAGATGTGGCTCCTCTGTCTGAGTCTGGACAAAGGGTAGAGAGGAGCTGGCCCTGACACCCTTGGGGACACATGGAAAATGGAATCATTTCATTCCTTCCATTTGTTGTTTACTACGTGGCAGACTGTCTGCTAGATGCGTAACAGGAACGACCTCATTGAAGCCTCCTAACAACTCAGGAGGTGGGAATTGCTATGATCCTTATTTTACAGATAAACTAAGGCCCTAAAAGAAGCGGTCACTTGCTCAAGGTTACACTCCTTGTGAGGGGCAAAGCTGGGACTCCAAATGGGGAAAAGAGACTTAAAGAGAACAGCTTTCAAAATATGACGGGTCAAGAGCTGATTCTTCCAGACTGACAGGCTGTCTTTAGGAAGCTCGGTCTGCTGTCTCCTAGGAAGAGAGACTGCTCTCGAGTTACAAGAGCACTGAATGCAGCCTACCCGGGCAGAAAGTCCTGGAGGACCATTGCCGCACAGGCTCCACTGCAGCTGCAGTGACACAGATGGTGCTTTGCCCTGAGCTCGGGGATGGTGGGAGCCTTAGGTTTGCATCTCCAGCACCCAGCTCTGTCCTCGCATGTAGACTGCGCTCTCTGCGCTTCTGGTGAGTAACATCTGAGGGGGCCAATAAAGGGCAAGGTAGAAGCCAAGCACATGGCTCTAAGAGAAACATCTCTGTTTTTACAGAGCTCTCCACAGGTCAGGGAGATGAAGGTGACAAACAGGGTAAAGATGGTGGTGGAGCCAGGATTCAAACCCAGACATAGAACACCCCAAAGCACTTTCTGTCTCTCATGCTGAAGTGCTTTCTCGTCCTCCCCCAACTGCTGCAAACCACCAACATCCCAGTTTTTTGTCTGTCCAGACCAAGGGTTTCCTGGAACGTAGAACTTTCAGAGCTAAAGCTGGGACAGCTGGTCAACCTACCTGTCCACAAGCTACCTGCACCACTAGGTTGTCCAAGGATAGAGCATAATAGTCTCCAAAAGTTGGTCTGCTGATGGTGGATAGGAACTAGCCACAATTTGACAACTCAGGACAAAAGCCTCAGAACTTGGATTGTTCAAAGTATCCAGGGTTCCAAATCTCCCGTGTCTCCCTCAATAAAATGTCAGCAGCAAACCTTTGTTTTTTTAAGGGGAGGGAAGACAGATAAAAAGGAAGCACCAAGTAAATATTCTTTTACCTTTTTAAGTGAGCAGAGGTATAAGTTGGAGCAAAGGTTTTAGACATAGCTGTTTTTGCTCAACGAGGAACACTAGAGATTATCTTGA